GTGTGTGTGTGTGTTTGAAAAGGCAACATGGCTCTGCATACGTGCAAACTTTTTGAATTCCTCCCCCTCCCTCCGACCCACACATATACCTTTTCCAGCTGTTTCAGAGAGGATTTCAGTTCTGCTCTTGCCTGCCGTCATGAAAAGAAAAAAAAATGTAAAAGGAAAAAGGCATGAGCTGAGGTCAGGCTGAGCTAGTTGCTGCCAGAGCCTCTAAAAAGCCTCTAAAAAAACCGCCCTCTACAGGAGGCAGGAGAACGACGTGCCTCATCTAAGTCAGGAAATTTTCGGCTTTTAACCCTTGCTTAGCTCTGCTCAAGTGATCATAAAGTCAGACTAGATGAGGCACCGCGTTCTCCTGTCACCTCCTGTAGAGGGCACTTTTTTAGAGGCTTTTTTAAACAGTTAAGCATTAAGCAGAGTCATCCATGGTGATTCGGGTCTTTTCCCGTGTAAAGCCAGCTGGGTGGCTAAAATCACCCAGCTGGCTTTCATGCTTAAGGACTACGAGCTGGGTACCCTAGCTCGTAGTCATTAACCTTAACCATTGCACAGCACTGGTTTTCATTGAATTATATGCATTTATTTAAAAATTCTGTGGATTTTTCTCCCTATAAAATGTGCATAGTTTTAAGCCTTTACTCGGGAGCATGTTGAGTTAAAATCAGTGGTAAATGCAATGGAAAAACAGAGAGGAGGTAGTTATTTAATGTTTTTAACAGATGCACAGGTAGTCCTCGACTTACAGCAGTTTGTTTAGCGATTGTTCAAAGTTACAGTGGCACTGAAAAAAATGACTTACGACCATTGTTCACATGACCATTGCAGCATCCCATGGTCACATGATCAGAATTCAGATGCCTGGCAAGTGACTATTTATGATCCTTGCAGTGACTCAAGGTGATGTGATCACCTTTTGCCAAGCAAAGTCAATGGGGAAGCCAGTGTCAGTTAACATTCATGTTAATAATTTTAACAACTGCAGTGATTCACTTAACAAGTGTGGCAAGAAAGGTTGTCAAATGGGACAAAATTCACTTAATAAACGTTTTGCTTAGCAATGGAAATTTTGGGCTCAGTTGTGTTTGTAAGTGGAGAACTACCTGTACTCAATAAAAGGAAGTATTTATTATGACCTAAAAATCCCAGATTCTTATCTGATAGTGATTATGGCATTCTTTTGTTTACCCAGGAGATCTCCCTTGTATGATAATTGCTTCTTGCATGCTCCAGATGGGCAGCCTTTATGTACATGTGATCGCAAGAAAGCCCAGTGGTATCTGGACAAAGGCATTGGAGGTTTGTGAATCTGTTCTTTTAGAGTCAAAAGGCCTGAATACAAGTTTGAAAAGAAGTGTGCTTGATTTTGTGATCAAGGTGTCCTAAAAAAGCCATGTTCGTAATCCAAAATCCATAATTGGATAATGCCTTTATTAATACTAACTAAATGACGTCAAAATATGCTTCAGGCGCTTCAGGACTCTTCGTGAAGCAAGATAATAGAAAAATTAGAGGCTGAGAAAACGAGATTAGGCTAGATGGTCTAGCTACATCATTTGCAGCTTAGAGTTAGCATATTTTGTGGACTATAAGATGCACCTGGCTATAAGACACACCTAAATTTAAAGGAGGAAATCAAGAAAAAAATAATTTTTGGCCTCTGCACCTTGTGTTCCCCCCCCCCATTTTTGGCCTGCAGTGCTTCTGGGGGCCTGGGAGTGTGAAAACACGATGCACGGAGGGCTTGGGAGCCCAAAAATGCCCATATTCAATCTATAAGACACCCCTAAATGTTTGATGGAATCAGGATGTTCATTCCATTTGTTTCACTGAGACAGAGGCTCTTTCTACTGTTAATACCTGCCTTCTAACCATGGGACTCCTATGCTCTTCTACCTTTTTCTTTTCATTGCCTAAAATGAGATTTCTTATCTCAGTTCTGTTTGAAAAAAAAGAGAGGAGAAACATGGGCAGCTGAATCATCCATAGACTTAAGGTTAAACAAAAGAGATAGGGCTACAAATTTGGAGGCTACCATGGAAAATTAGCAAATTTTATACATCATTTTATGCCTCAAAGGCTCTTATGTTGAAATTCAATTATACGTATTCATTTTTGTTTATCCATTATTTGGAGCAGGAGTGGGGAGCCCCCCCCCCCATGTTGCTGAACTAGAGCTCTTTAGTACACTAGCCTTCAGGCTAATGGTGGTGGGGGGACTTTGACATTGCAGATCAGCGACATCTGGAGGGTCACAGTCCTTGAGAGCATCAGAGGACAGGCATTAATATTCTCTGGTTTTTTGTGATTGTTATTTCAGAATTAGTAAACATGGAGCCATTTACTGTGAGATTAAAGTTTGAGCCCTCTGGACGCCCTGAATCAACTGTGGATTATTACTTGACAGTCAAAGAAAATCTGTGTGTTGTGTGTGGCAAAAAAGAATCTTACATTCGGTGAGTTGTTCAGAAAGCTGCTCTGTCTGACTGATCTAACTATTGAAAGGGCTTAAGCTTGCTACCCCATTATGCTGTGTTTAAGAAATAAGAATAGCATTAAATCCAATGAAGGTGTATGGATGGATGTCCTTGTAAACATATATAGATAAAGATCTTGAGTATTTCAGTGGCTGCAACATCAATTTTAATGTGCCATAAATAACCAAGATAATACAATATCAACTTTTGTACATCTGAACTTCATAAGTATTGAAGTGTCATAGGATGATGAGTAGATTGCATATCAACAAAGTTTACAAGTTCCATTCATGTTTACAAACTGCTGTGTTTTCTTCACGTATTTTGGGATGCAAGTAGTGGCATAATTATTTGTAATGGTTTGCTTTTATCATTAACTGTCTGGAATACTAGTTTTTTTTAGTGGAAAGAAGTATAAATTAAACTGATAGATGAACAATTGAGTTCTTGGTGCACTATGAGCTTGATTGTTTATTTGCAGAAATTTCATTACCCAACTAAGTAAAATCATCAGTGTAAATGATTGGGGTTTTACTGCCTATTTATATACAATGTACTTGCCAGTTTTGGTGGGGGTATAGTTTTCTCTTTGATGGTTTCTTCATCAGAGTATTGTTTCCTACCTAATTATTTAATCTGGTACTTATCTAAATATGGGCTGCTGGAGGGGATGTGTTGCAGTCTTTTGGTTTCCTTCCTAGGAGTTTTGTTTCTTTCAAATGGTGTGTAAATGTGGGTTATTAATTTATTAGTATGGTTTATATGTCTGTTGGATGGCTGATTTAGTGAATTCCAAGCTTACAGAAATTCCATAGCATTTTGGGGTTTGGCTTGGTCTAAGAATAATGAACACTAAAGAAAACAATACATGAAGATAATGAACACTGTGAGAAAATTTGTTTTAACGGCTTTTACCCGTGTTTCCCTGAAAAAAAAATCTTTTGAGCTCCAAAATAAGCACTAGGGCTTATTTTTGGGTGGGTGTTTTTTTCCCCTATGTATGGGAGGCCCACTTCTTCTGCTTGTTCATGGCAGGGCAGGAGGCCACGTGATGCGCCAGTGCTGCTTACGCAAGGCAGGGGATGGAGCTGCCCCATGTACCCCACACCTGCTTACTTCAGGGCCCCCACAGCTAGGCCACCCACGCCTCAACCCTTGCCTCTTCTTGTGGCAGTGACTCTGGCAGCCCCGTTTAGCAAAACCCCGCATGGGCGCTGACCCACTTTTGCTTGCTCACAGCTGCAATGGAGCAGGAAGCTGAGTGACATGCCAGTGCCGCGGCTATGAGGCGAGGTGGGGGGGGATAGAGCTGCCCCATGCACCCTGCCCTACCCTGTCATGGCCCAACACCCTCGCCTTGCAGCCGTGGCACAACCACACCACTCAGCCTCCTGCTCCATTGCAGCCGCGAGTAAGCAGAAGTGGGCCACCGGCCATGTTGCTGTTGCCATGAAGCAAGTGTCAGGGTGTGGATGGCCTGGCTGCATGGGCCCTGAGGTAAACCGGTGCGGTGTGGGGCAGATCCATGCCACTGCTGCACCTCGTGGCTGCGGCACTACGAGCAACAGGACGGAATGGGTGGGTAGCTGCGCAGGGTCTTAAATAGGGCTTATATTAGGCGCATGTGTAAAACATGCTAGGGTTTATTTTTAGATTAGGGCTTTCCAGGAAACGGTATTAGAAGCCAAGCTGATAACGGTACTCTTCAAACAAGCATGTTCCAAAGCTATAGAGTAGTCATCAAGAATCTCCTGACTCATATTAATTTTTTAAACATATTCTTCCCTGCACTAATTCTGTGCCATCTACCCTATAATAGATTATTTGTATGCTGTAAGTGTTGCACAGCACCCTACACTGTTTCACATTACTCCAGAACATTTACTATGTTCTGGACCTCTAACCTCCTATCTTCAGCTACATTAGTCTAGATTGCAATTATGAAGCTCAGGTGTCAATTCATACATTTGTGGCTGTGAGGAGTTATGAACTGGATACCTCAGCACAAAACAGGAATGAAAATTTGTTTCTGTAAAGGAGCAAAAGGGGACTATTAAAATTTAAAACGGAAGTGAAAGAATCCATCAAGGAAGCTTGGTAGTTTAACCCACCTTTTTTAAACCATGATTTGCTTTGTAATAGCTCACAAGTAATCATGTTTACATCTGTGCCCTCCAAAGCTTTATTTAGTAATTAATGCAAATCACTTTGCTAACGAGAAACACAGAAACAAAATAGACTATTGTAAGGTCATTTGGCAACACCAGAATAACACGCTTCTGCCATTACACTAAAAGAAAAGCAATGTATCTCCCATCTTGTTCTAGCTAAAATAACTAAGGGAGCCAGAAACACTAAAAGCTGACAATAAAATATGCATGGTTATCAAACACAAGAAGATGAGTAGAACAGTGTTTCTTAACCTTGGCCTTTTTATGATACGTGGATCAAATGGACAGGTTGAGAAACACTGGAGTAGAGTCTTAATTAACAAAACAGTGAAATCCTTTGAGAACTGTGAAGTGAGCCCTATTGGATTTGTTGGCACCTGAAGAGAAGATCTGGTTGACTTCATGGTAGAAGAGTGGCTGCAGGCTCACTGGCACCTATTGGTGATCCGTTCTCAACTGCTGCTGTTTCCTCAACAGAAAGAACATTGTACCTCACGAGTACCGGAAACACTTTCCCATTCAGATGAAAGACCACAATTCCCATGATGTGCTCCTTCTCTGCACCGCGTGTCATGCACTCTCTAATTACTATGATAATCATCTCAAGCAACAACTGGCTGAAGAATTTTGTGCCCCTATTGGTTGCGAGGAGGGCGTTCGCTTGCTCGAAGATCCCACCCGCAGATTAGTCCGGTCGGCAGCTAGAGCGCTTGTGAATGCAGACAGCCTACCTGCTGCCAGGAAGGAAGAGCTGTTGCAGCTGATCAGGGATTTCTTTGCATCTGACACGGTTTCCCCAGAGATGGTGCAGGAAGCAGCTGGACTGGAAACCAGGTACAGTGTCTTAGATTAAGGGTTGGTTAGATTAAGATTTAGAATAAGATACATGATTTTTGCTGCTTGTTTGCAGTGTTTTCCAGGTTTCTGCTTGCTGGACCGAATTATCCAATTTTGGAGAGTGCTACTGCTTGGGGAAATTTGTTCTAGGGTTTGACCTTTAGTAATGAGTGGAATTCCCAAGGGAAAGTGAGAAACTTAATCTGAAGTAATGAATAGGTTCAGACCATGAAGAAGATTAAAAAAGTCATCATGCTTTCCATAAATGGCATCAAATATGTATAGCATCAGCATAAATCTTTATTACGGTCAAAGACCAGCAATACATATTACTTTTTACAATATGTTAAAAATTACTAACATTAAGATATAATTAAAAAGTATTGACATTAAAAGTGGAAAATAGCATACATGTTCTCAAATTGTTCGGGTCACTCCCTGGTTTACCTGGGTGCAAAGCCGTTAAGTATGGGAGTAAATACAATGGTCCAGAAATTGTTAGAGANGGTAGAACAAGAAGCAATGGGTGGAAACTAATCAAGGAGAGAAGCAACTTAGAATTGAGGAGAAATTTTCTTGACAGTTAGAACAATTAATCAATGGAGCAGCTTGCTTCCAGAAGTTGTGAATGCCCCAACACTGGAAGTTTTTAAGCAGATGTTGGATAGCCATTTGTCTGGAATGGTATAAGGTTTCCAGCCTAGGCAGGGGGTTGGACTAGAAGACCTCCAAGGTCCCTTCCAACTCTGCTATTATATTTGTATTTGTCTGTTGTTCATTCCATTTGTTGTTTGGAGCAATTCTCCTTGGGTATTTAAGGTGCTGATGAATATGTTAAGGCATACCTCTTGGTTTTCTTCCTCAGATTAATTATGCTGCTCGAGATGCACAGGTGTCAGTGGCTTTGTTCCTCCACCTAGTGAACCTTCCCTGCCCCCCTTGTGCATCAGGTGATGGACATGTTCTTCCTGCTTGGGAAAAGGTTCTGAGGAAATGTCAGGGTTTGGTGGATGTACCCTTCAAGGGAAAAAATAATAGCTTTGGTGATGATGAAAATCCAGGAAATGTGGACCAAAGCCCACAGCATAAGAAACTTCCATCCTCCCCAATCAACCAACAGGGGAAGGATCCTCGGAAGCACAAAAGGAAGCCTCTGGGTGTAGGATATTCAGCCAGGTAAATGTTCCTTGTGCAACTTTTTATCAAAATGTCCAAGAAGACACAACCCCAACCTCCAACCCCCAACCTCCAACCCCCCCACACTTTTTAGCATAGTTTTTATTGCTGGCCAATCTTTTTTATGCTTTTAACTTTTTATATGTAATTTAATCTTGTGGTATTTTATGCCTTTTAATTTCTTGTACCTTATCCTCCTTATGCTAGTCTTTGACCTTAATAAAAGTTAATTAGAATGGATTAAATCTCTCCCCCCCTCCCCAGTCTTTCAACATTTTATTACATAGATTAAATATTTTGTGAAGATTCTCTATTGAAAATCCATGCCTGCAACTCGGAGATTATGCACATAGTGGTTTAGAGCAGTGGTCCCCAACCTTTTTATCGCCGCGGACCAGTCAGCCTTTGATAATTTTACCGTGGCCCGCTGAGCAC